AAGCATGCCTTTTGAGGCGCACCTGCCTCACATAATTCAATTAAGAAACGGTCAACACACAGTGCATATAATTACGGCACTCAGTAGACTACAGCTATCAATCAAACCTAACGCAAGGTGGTCATGTGCCCATGAGCATGCGAAACTATGTATCCAGCATCGGGCAGGTTTCCTGACATTCCTTTTCAGTTCAATTTGATCGAATTTTCCGGATAAATCTTAATAGAAATATGATGTGGCAGTTCTTGAAAAATCGGGAGCTTTGACCTGATGGGTGCTATTATCGAGGATTTAAATGCCAGCAAGTTGACATGCACTGGGGACGTCGACCCAGGAGCTTTTATAGTACTGGAATTAGCCTGACCGTCGCCACGCCGGCGACATTTCAGCAGTTTTCCGATTCCGATGGATGGACGTCCTGCCTGCTGCACGACACTTCACCCGAAGCACCTGGCAAATGCCGCCACCAAAACATCATTGTGGCCGTACTGGGACCACACTGGGACTCTCTAGGACTCCACTGAGACCGCACTGGGACCGAACTGGGACCCCGCTGGGACCCCACTGGGACCGCACTGGAACTCCAATGGGACCCCACTGGGACCCCGCTGGAACCTCACTGGGACACCACTGGGGTCCCGCTGGGACTCCACTGGGACTCCGCTGGGACCCCTCCCGGGCAGGCCGAGACCAAAGCATCGGTCGGTCGGCTTGACACACCATGAATCAAGCTTTTGTGGTCGGTGGCCGGCATGCATGGGCCGGTGCCAGCCGTGACTCGCGTGTGCCAATCACTCACCGGGCGCCCCGCCTACGAACGACCGGTCACGGCGCCGCTGAATGGCAGCGAAGGTCAGGGGTCGCTGGGGTCAGGCCGCGCCCCGGGGGGCCATCGCGGGGTGTGTGGTGGCAGCGGGGCTTTGTAACGGGTCGTCAGCGCCCTAACGCTGGGTGCGGGCGATGGTGGTGGAAGCGGTACGTTATCGGTGGCAGCTGCCAGGTGTCTGACGTGGGTCCTGTGTTTCGGGTCTGGATGATATACTGAGTAGGCGGAAATGGATGGGACCGCGGGTATTTCGGCGTCAGAGAATGTTGATGTGTGTCGATATGTATACAGTTCACGTGTTGATAAGGCAGCAATTATGGAGATGGACGAGCTCAGTCTCCCATAGGCTTATACATTTCGTACGGCGACTTCAAAAAATACAAAATGAAGGCAGAGGAGGGAAAGAGTGTGTGGGCAGTGTGTGAGAGTGCGGACAGAGCAGAGACAATGACCAAGAGCATGAGGTGAGTTGAGATGAGGGACATTTTCGAATTTAGCTATTCCCTCCTTTGCAGCGCAGCTGGAAGAACGACTTAGTTATCAAAGAAAACACGCGAGTGTTGCTCTTACACCTTCAGAATCACCTCGCAACTCTACCCGCCCGTTCAATTCTTCGTGTATTAAAAGGTAGAACCATTTCCGCCATGAGCGGAAATGAGCAGCTTCCGATAAGCAGCAGTTTCCGTTCAATTTGAGATAAGCTTTCCGCCATTTTGGGTGCTGTGCACGGGTTCTTGGGTGGGACTATCTCTAGGACGGCCGCCAGCAGACTCATGACTGGCGACTACAGTTACTCCTGTTGAGATAGGGCGTTGTAAGGTTTTGGGTTGCAACGATGAATAAGGAATACGAGGGTGTGGAAGATGACCCATTAGATGCCCGTTTAGATGCCAGTCGTTTGCGAACGATGAAAACTGCATGTTTTGCAGAAAGACTATGCCCCTCACGGAGCGCCTTATGCTGACTGGGGCATGTTGCTATTGATCGCTTTCTGCCCAAAATGACTCGTACAGGCCGTTTTTATCCCAATTTTTATAAGCCATTTTGGGTCTTTTCCGTAGGCAAATATGCGATCAGTCTCAGTGTCTGCGATCAAAGGCTCAAATAACGTCGCTGCAGTAGTCCTTTGTATTCTTCAGTCCGCTCTTATGCAATGCACACCCAATGTGCATGCATACGTCTGATAACTGCGGCAGACATTCGTTGCACATCTCGTAGGTGGATGGGATACAGAGGCTCGTGATCTTTGATGTATCCTAGTCTAACACACGTCACAGCCGTCCGAGGAGGCCACGCGCAACGCTGGGCCGGGCCTCGGCTGCGTGAGGTGTCAGGCCGAGCCTCGGATGCGTGAGGTGTCAGGCCGGGCCTCGGATGCGTGAGGTGTCAGGCCGGGCCTCGGCTGCGTAAGGTGTCAGGCCGGGCCTCGGCTGCGTAAGGTGTCAGGCCGGGCCTCGGCTGCGCGAGGTGTCAGGCCGGGCCTCGGCTGCACGAGGTGTCAGGCCGGGCCTCGGCTGCGTAAGGTGTCAGGCCGGGCCTCGGCTGTGTAAAGTGTCAGGCCGGGACTCGGCCGCGTGAGGTGTCAGGCCGGACCTCGGCCGCGTGAGGTGTCAGGCCGGGCCTCGGCCGCGTGAGGTGTCAGGCCAGACCTCGGCTGCGTGAGGTGTCAGGCCGGGCCTCGGCTGCGTGAGGTGTCAGGCAGGGCCTCGGCTGCGTGAGGTGTCAGGCCGGGCCTCGGCTGCGAGAGGTGTCGGGTCCGCACGAACCCTGCCCTGCCGGACGGCGCCGACGGCAGCTCGGAGGCGCCGCCGGGCTCAGCGCTGCCCTCATTGAGACGTGACGTGGATCCGTGAGCAAGCACGCTGTTTCCGAACAGAGCCGCACCAGCGAGCGGAGGACCGCCCGTGCGCCCGCCTCGCGCGTGTTCTCCTCCAGTGGCCGGTGTTGGAGAGGCTTCGCTCGGTGCGCTTGGCATTCAGGACAAGCCCATTTGAGCCACGAGATACGACGCAGCGTCAACGTGAGGAAAACAGCGCTGGCGTCGCCTGGCGAGCAGAAAGACACTTCCGTCGGCACTTCCCACGTTATTATCACACAGAGCGCAGTTTGTGGACTTGCACTCTTTTGTTGTTACGGTGTGGCAGTCAACAAGGACGCAGGAGAGACTGCAGCGGCGTACATATTGACCGAGCCTCGTGGAGCAGTGCCTTCATTCGTCGCCCGTCAACAGCTGCCTGCAGGTCTCATATATAACCCCGAGCAAATTGAATGCCTCTGTGCTGAGGCTGCGCTTACAGTCCATCGCTCACAGAGAATGCGAAGGCGAGCCTTCCGACGGGCACGTCTGCCGCCTGACGTCTTATTGTTCCAGATGTCAGATAGCTAGATAGATGTTCTTCAAGCGTGAGGATTCTGCGCCATTGCCTTAATAAAGACGGGTGAAGTCGCAGCACGTGCGGAATGATAAGTAAGGGAAAAATGTGGCGCCGACATGGGAACACTGACTGGTAGTTCTATGTTTGATTCGGTTTCAGCGAAATGCAAACCAACCGAAATTTGTAGTGCGTGACATTGGCTGATGATTGTCACTACGGATAGCGATGCACAATTTTGAACCGACTTTAATTCAGGCCCCGAGAGTGAATAAGTTCAAAATATGGGGCAGTTGTTAGGATCTTTTAAAGTTTGGTCGTTTTGGTAACAGTGATCAAAATCGCGCTTGGTTTATGAAATGCACACATTTTCTCCAACGAGACAGGATTCCATTAAGTGCAATATTAGCGGCGAACTAAAGCGTTCGAATAAGTACGCACGGTCTGAGACTGGATGTACTGGCCGGCTCGAGTGTACTGAATTGTACACTCGTGTATATGGATAAGTATACTGAAGTGTACCGTCAATAAGCTTTACCGATGGGTAGAACATATTTACAGACAGCCTGCTCCCGTTCGCACACTAATCTTATGCCCTGGCTCCATTAAAAAGCTTGTTACTCAAGTTCGAGGTCAGTTATCAACGCAGCCATGATCACGAGTTTGACGGACGACAGCCACGGTGGCGTATGCACCAGCTGTCCCCTGTACGACATCATCAACCTTATCAGCACTTTGTCTTGTTTTAATTTTGTTTTGTTTTTGCATTGAACAGAGCAGAGGAACTAAACCCAAATGCCAATGGAATTTGCACATTACGTGTTACAATTAACAACTTTTGAATTGAGTGTTTTGATTCCTTCAACTTTTGAGTTGAATGTTGGACTGATTCGACGCAAATTTGGGTGGTGCGTATGCACTAAGCTGCTAAACTAAGACAACGGCTGATATATTTATCAACATGGCAGTCAACATATACCAAAGTTATTTCCATACATTGACTGAATAGTTAACGATCATTGCACCCTTCTTAGTGAACCGCACATACAATTTCGTTGGCAACGTTTGTTTTCAAAAACCAGACGGCAGACAGACATATACCCAATGCCTGATCTGAAGAGAAAGTACTGACATAGGCCCGTGACACTTGCGTGGCATTTGTGTCTCCTTGACATTTGTGTCCTTCAATTTAGAAGCAAACGTTTTAATCGTGGCGTGATTTTGCAGCCTGAAGAATTCCGACCACATATTTACATATTGAATGTTTATTCTCAGGCAAATTAGGATGAGAACAGACTTTAGATCCCGGATCTCAAATGACCATTTAAAAATAATTCAGATGCTTCTTGTATCCGGGACGATTCTTCGTATATTTTGTGATAGATTGGATCTTGGAAGATCCGTACAAACTGTCGAAAACGGATCCTGGATCTCTTGAGATTCCTCAGCTGAAACTGAAAGCGAGACACTTCCTGTACAACGCGCCAAGGGGACCATGAACGCTGTTGCCTATTCAGTCGGGATGGTGGGGAGCTGGGGTCTCCGGCTTTGAGAAGAAAGTGGGCTGTAGTGTGAAGCAAACTGGTCTTTGCCGCGTTTGGGGGCCATTGGGGCCGCCTTGGAGCCGTTTTGGCTTTTTCTCCTGCTCAGCCCGCAACTCATTTTGCAAAACTGCATTCATGCATGAGACAACATTATGGAGCCGCGTCACCATCCCCAGCCCGTGTCTGGCTCCACGGTCGCGACCTTGAGACTGGTCCAGCCCGCCCCTGCGTCCCTCAGATCTCCAGGCCGCCACTCACCGTCATCTAGGTAAGTCTCGGGCTCGCCACCGGCCGCGGCGGCGGCGGCCGACGCCGCCAGCAGCGACAGGGCGATCAGAAGCGCCGCCACTCTCATGGCTCGGGCGCGGGGCTGCAAGTGAGGGCGCTGCGCGCCCCCGGGCCTCCTCATCCGGCGGCGTGACGTCACCCGCCGCCCGCCAATCAGCGCGTGCGCGCGGGGCGCGGACCGCGACCGCCCGAGGCGCCGCGCGGGCCTGTGGCGCCCGCGGCGACGGCGCCCGAGAGGCTTGGGCAACGGTAGTCTGGAACGAGGGCTGGGCGGAGGTGGCAGCTCTCGCTGAAGGGCACGGGGCGGTCGGGTGGAAGGGTACGTAGAAGGCAAGCCACGCGACGATGGTTGATGACGCTGCTGAGGACTTTTTGGGGCGATCATTTACTGACTTTGATTTCGTCGTGTCGGAGAAGAGCACTGCCGCGCGTTGTTCTAGACTTGCACTCTTCAATTGCCCGTGAAATGTAAAACGATTACGCCCATATTTGTCGCTTGGTTTAACTGATTTTGGAATCTTTCGGTTTCATTTTCGGTACAGAGGGTTGTTCGTAGCGCTACCACTGAGCAAGCACTGCAACCGCCGCTACCGAACAGCCACCGCCACCGCTGTCGCCACGGTCCATAACGACAGCGAGATTGATCGCCGGTGAGGTTAACCCGGAGAGGGTGTGAATTCGAAAGTTTCGAAAATGACATGATGGACATAATGTCCATTAGACAACATCGGATGTAGGGTTTAAAAACATGACACGTTCAAACTTGTGCTACTCCCAACATACTCACGTACTCATACATATCAAAAACATAACTCTTTTGCAGGGTGATTTACCAAGAAATGAGTTGGTGTCTGAATGATAAAGCATTTGAGATATCTTCCTGACATGGTAAGTCCAGAGTAATATGGCAAACACGCCCCGCTTTCCAAACTATGCAATTAGGAATGTTCTCACAAACAGAAATTTCCAACCCGAGCCTCTGCGCCTCAACCAATTGAGCAGATGGTGAATGAATGTGCATGCTATATTTTATGTTAGTACACGCTAAGACCAGATGTTAGTAAACACTAGGCCACCTTGTACGGCGGGGAGCCGACCAAGTAACCACCTTAGAGATTATAGTTGCAAACGTTTTGTGAATGGGATACTTTCAAAAGCGGAATCGAATCCATCTCGATTCTGTCGCAAGCCTCACGATCAATCTCGACTTCGATTTAGCTGATAGAGCCGAGTCCGACTCTGACTCAAGCCAAAAGCAATTCAACTAAAGAATCGGGTTTGATTTTGCTGGGGCCTAACCACAACTCTGGCGCCTTGCCACCAGCTTACCGCCAAGTTTGGTCGCCATTTGGGTGGGTCCCTGGCGGCGGCGGCGGCAGCGGCGGCAGCGGTTTTGTGCGGAGACCAGAGCGCTGGGCACACTCCCCCGGTCTCGCTTTTGCTGCGTGAAATTGAGCATTGCTAACAATCACGTCCTGGGATTTGGTGGTGCTCGTGGCGGAATGTAGGGCAGTGAAGGACTGGTGTACCTAGTTAAGCCGTCAGAACGGAAATATTTCTCACATTTTCACACATCAAATGCTGCTTTCTGTTCTGGCACACCCTGCTAACGCTGCGTAGCATCCTAATAACCAGCGCTGCGATGGTAGCCAGGGTGCTGTCGTGCCAGGAATGCTCGTCCGATGAGATGAGCCTACCGGACTACATCACAATGCTGTCCGAGCTCATCTACGGTCATGCACGGTATATAAGAGACACGTTTTTGTATCTCTTCACAGCCGTCCGACGACAAGTCTGCCCATAGATGATGAGCCCAACGGGGAAAATCAGAAGATGAGCTCGCGCTCGGTTGATCTGGAAGTACCCGAGTTATTAAGGAAAAAAGTTAGAGCTGCTTGTGCGAAACTGTTGGTTTGGGTCCTCAGATGGAATAAACTGATAACAACTAGAAAACAATGAGAGAATGACCGGCGCGTTACAAAGCAACACACAGGCTGCGTTTTACATCGTGAATGTTACGATGCGGTCGGTATTTTTTCACAGCGTTCATCTCAATGCTTGCGCCGCCTTTTTACGTGTGCAGTAGATAATTGCCATGGCTTCCGTCTAATTAGCAGGCCAACTGGGACCGGACGGGCACCAATAGCACCAAGTGATCGTGGTCTACAGGAGCCGCCACAGCCGGCGCCTGGAGCACGTCGCGCTCGTGGCGTCAGGAGCGCGTATAGGCCAGCACATATCCGCCGGTGACAATGCCACGGCCGGCTCGATGAGGAGCAGAGGTTACGAGCTTAGTTGACTGATAGATCTTAGCAAGGTAATGATGAGGACGACAAAGTCAACTGAATGAGGAGCACTGCAAAAATGTCACCTGAAGCACCACAGGAAAATCCATAGATCCAAAAACCAAATAGAAAACCCAAAACCATAGCTTGCAAGCACACGGCAGGCTGCGATCAGGATGACGGGGTTGTTAGCGGCATAGCGAGGCAAATCTATGGAACCGGGGAAAAGTCGACTCAGGAAACAAAATGAAAGGAGCTCTCGCTGCGAACTTAGCTAGTGCTAGTTACAAAGTCCTGTGGGTAAGAAGTTCCCTTCTCACATGGTGAACTCGCTACAGGACTACAAACGTAGCACCTGAACAGTGGCCCAGGCCTCTCCATGTTGCCCTGCTATCCTGTTCCTCTGCAGACTTGAACAGCTGTTTTTGCCTGCCAGAGACTCAACCACAGGTGGAACTGGTGGGTCTTACGCTTCATCGAACAACATGCAAGCCATTAACAGAGCGAACTTCAGTGCTGATGCATTGCCCCTGTCTCTCGCTGGATCTGTTTGCTTCGAAAGAGTCCGAGTCGTGCGGCACAGCATACCGTGGAACGTGTTGGTAAGTGCTGCCATCTCTACCGGCTTGCACCAGCTTTCAGTGACGATACTAACCGAGACACGACGGCACCGGCCGAACTGACGGCAGGCAATCACCGCGGGTTCTCGAAAGTTTCTGGTAGCTGCCAAAAGGCGGCGCTACCAACGATCCACGACAGATGGTAAGTGAAAGAGCATCCACATAAAAATGAAAAGAGCGGCTTTAAATAGATTCGTCCATGGTTGCGTGCGGCAATAAAATCAGCGCCGCTTCCAAGGAAACAAAATCGCGACAGATGTTGCGACATGAATCCATGAGCGTGATCAACGAAATATTGGCGATGTCCAGGCCCCATGACATAAAGTCGCCGGGTTCCCGCATTCGTAGTAATATTAATGGTCCTTGAATTCGCGCCGACACGCGCCATTTCGACACCCCGCCGTCCAAATTCAGTGACCTGGAGAGAAAATCACAGTGAAACGAGTGATACGTCCACTGCAACGGTCAACGACGTTTTGTGGTGTATCTTACAGCTGATCCGTCAATTTAAGTCAACAAGTCGGATCCCGTTTTGCCATTTCTACGTGGATCATAAAATTTATCGAGGCAAAGTCAGTCAAATGACTGCATCCTTTGCGTTAAAGGGCGATTTGAGTGGCTGTTTGCAATTGAATAGCGGATCTTCTGATATTCTGAGATAGCATAGTGCTGGTGCAATGTAAGGCATTGCAAGTATTTAAAGCAAATCAAAATGGCCTCCCCACGATAATTATAGGTATATGTGATATTCGTTAAGTAAGCTGCTTTTTTGATGAAATTTTGGTCACGGACCCCGTCCACAGAGACAATAAATGAAACGTTTATTTGTGAATCTAATAATGATTCAATGTTTGAATTTTCAACTCTGTGAGCAGGGTGCGTGACCGAGAATTCATCAAAGATGCATTTACCTAACGAGCATCACGTACATCATTATTGTAAGGAGGTCACCTTAATTCGCTTTTGATCTTTTGGTATCACAAATTTGCTTTTAACTAGTGAGGTCGTTGACCTATGGCAGGCGAAAGTTAACCGCAGCTGTTAGCAAAGGTCATCTATAGGAAATCGTTCAATCTGATATAACGACGGAGTGTTAGACGAAGCCATGCACGTCCAAGTCCCAGGCAGCACAGCAATAAAATTCATGATAACAACCAAGTTTTTTAATCCAGGGTCAGGTATGACGGTCAGACCGAGACCAGAACTAATCTGTCTTGTTACTCGAGAGCTTGCTGTATGAGGTAGATTCTGGTACCCAATCGAATTTATTATTGAGAGGGGCCGCAACAGACACGTTCTATAACATTATTTAAGGTCAGAGTAGGTGGGGCATTTTATGAAAAGTCGACTGGTCGTAGGGTCGGTTTACACCCTGATTTCTCGGATTTGGATAAAATGAACCACATTGGCTGTCAGTGGCGCGGAAGGCGCCTGTGACATTTTGAAGTCTCTCAGCTCAGCAGTTTTGGAATTATAGCCCCCCGAATTTTCATATTGTGGGGTCGAAGGGCTACATGCGGCGGCGATTTTTCAGTACTATAAAAGAAAGACGCATAGGCCTTTGCGGCAAAATGATTCAAAATATTTCCAGATTACGTGATGCAGTGCTTGAAATCGTCCATGGACACGAAGCATTGATGGTGGCGTTAAAAATGTTTTTAATCCATGGAGAACCATTTTTACACGATATTTTAAAGCTTTTCTCATTTGAGTGTGAGATCGCGTAGTTTTAACCACATATTCTGAACATAAAGAGGCGGTTAAGAGTGGAGAAAATCGACTAAAGCAAAGCTGAACGGGGTGAAGGGCTATTCAACCTTCCACGGCAATCTGTCGGTATGGGTGCCATCCACAGAGCAGGCACGGATGCACGCCAACCGCTGGGAAAGGGTCGCCACGCGTCGAACAAACCCCGGATGGAACTGTCACCCCACCGAAAGCTCCAGGCCGACATGTCGGAGGTCAGGTTCCGCCCTACGGAAGGTTTTCAGTGCGTGGGCCGGAGACGCTCCTCTTCTCGCCGCTTCTCTTCGTCCGCCAGCTCTGCCTCCCATGGTTTCGTTGAGGGAAGGTAACCATTAGCTTCGCGTTCTGGGGATAACAGCACACACAAACCGCGTGAGTGCCGCTGCTACCCATCAGTGCGCAGTGTTTCAGGCAAGGACTAACGC